TAATATATATATATATAGGGTCGAAAATAACTGCACATTTTAATGTGAAGCAGTAGAAATATTTTTTTCTTTTCTGTCTTTTATTTATTTATTGACGTTATTATTATTATCCACCATTAAACACGACAAGGCTACTTGTCGGAGTTTTTAAGTATTTATCCGAGGTTTCTACCCGATTCCTTAGGGACAAATACTCGAATTTCGGTGGTGCCACTTATTATAAGATAGCACCACATCAATTCTTGAAGGTCTTCCTGAGTCCGTCTTTTTCGATGGGAACGATTTGTCTCCTGAACTGGGCTCCGGTGACTAACATCTTTGGAGTGGCCAGGGTCAGAAGCAGTGAAATTCACGTTCTCGTCGAGCTGCCTCAGGTCGACAGTAGAACAAGATTTGTTTTTTGGTTCTTACTTTGTCTTGTTCTCATTTTTTTTTTTGCTCTTTTTAAGCCAACAGCACGTGGCGTTCTCAAACGGTCACCCATCCAAGTTTGCACCACGCCCGATGCTGCTTAACTTCGGTGATCGTACGGGAACCGGTGTGACCAGCACGCTATGGCCGTTGGCTTTTATTATTATTATTATTATTATTATTATTATTATTATTATTATTATTATTATTATTATTATTATTAAAATTTCTCAAAGGGAATCGAAAGCATTTTTATTTTTTACTTAACTTTTTTTTTTCTTTTATCGAAGATCAAAAGATTCAACGAACTATGACGTAATGAAAAAAAAAAAAAAAGAAAAATGAAAAAAGAAAAGTTTTTAAAATTTTCATCATTTTCCTAAATAAAAAAAAAAGGAAGTCGTGTTTCTTATTTTATTTCCGGTCTCTCCGGAAAAGTAAAAGAAAGATATGGGGAAGGGGGAAAACTTTACTTTTTTCTGTTTAAATATTCCAAAAAGGTGGAATTGAATATTTAAAAAAAAATTTAAATAATGTAAAATAAAACGAAAAGAGGCGGGGCAAGGGTGTAGCAAGGTGTTGGGTAGGTAGACATTTTTTTTCGTACCTGATTTTCCCCTTCCCCCCCCCGGTTCATCCCCCTCAAGCTTTAAAGAAAAAATAAATGAATTCTTTTTTTTATTTTTATCGCGTATCAATTCGTAATTTTTCATGTTTTTTTTCGAATTTAAAATTTTATTTTATTTTTAAATAAATAAATAAATACGCTATAAAATAATAATAATAATAATAAATATTGCAGATAACTTTTATCGTTTCCTCCGTACGAAAGTAAAATGAAAAAAAAATATAAATAAATACATAAATAATGATAATAATAATCGTGATAGTGATGGAGATGAAAAAAATAAAAAAAATTTTTATTACGCGGTGGGTGAAAGCAGACACAAAGTTAACGATAATTTGTTTAGGAAAAGTTTTTAAAAAAAAAAAAAGTAAAGAAAAGAAAAGTAATTAACCAACAAAAGATTAAATTTAAATTTAAATTTAAATTAAATTTTTTTTTGAAAAATTAAATTTTAATCTGGCGTTGCAACAATCTCTCTCTCTCTCTCTCTCTCTCTCTCTTGATCTTAATTTTATAAATGAAATCAACTTGAAAAACTTGACATTATCACAATTATTTATTTTACTTATGTATTTTTTTTTTTATTAAAAAAAAAAAAGTCGTACAACAACAACAACAACAACAACAAACTTTCTTTTAATAATAGTTTTTTTTTTTTTTTAATATTAAAAATAAAGAGAGAGAGAAAAAGAGGTAAAGAGAGAGAGGAAAAAAATATATATGTACATCAGGTGTGACGATATATTTTAAAAAAAAAAAAAAAATTTTTTTTTCTGCTGCATCGTAGTTTTTTAAATTTTTTCAATAATAATACCAAAATATAGAAAAAATAATAATAATAAGAGGGAAAAGAAAAGGGGGGAGGGGGGAAGAGAGAGAGAGGGAGGGGAGGAAACTAATATTATTATTTAATTTTTTAAATTTCGATTAAATTTTATCGAATTTTTATTTACTTGTGATGACGAGGAAAATTGTGACAAAATTTAATGCGAGACGACGAAAAATGCTAATGAAAATAATAATAATGATGATGATGATGATGATGATATAATGACGCAAACGTTCGTGAGAATAAATTTTTCATACGGATTTAAAATAAAATATTTATTTATTTATTTATAATCGCGGCATAAATTTTAAAATTCGGGATAGACGTGAATTAAGATGCTAATCTCCAGCTTCCCGTTTTCAAAAAGGGAGAAAAGAGAGAGAGAGGAAGAGAGATAGGGAAAAAGGAAATTTTTCGCACGGAATATTAATATATAAATTTATTATTATTATCATTATTTTACGGCTAAAAAAAAAAAAAAA